GGAATCCGTTTCGGCAGATAATCGAAGCCGACTATTCTCTGGCGTTGACGTTTAATATTTCCCAAACAAGACGTGAAAGGACTCACCTGGCCCAGCCTGTAATAGAGACAGGCATCAAGGTATAACGCGGATAAATAATTATGTCTGTTCTTAAGATCCACGTGAGCCGGGAGGGAATGAGCGAGTATGGTGTTACGCCGCTTTTAGCACTATTCCAGCATATTACGGCGTTTGACACCAGAAATGGGCTTCACACATTGTACCCATGTGGGGATTTGAATCCGGGTCTTCGGCGTGACTAGCGAACGCTTTATCCACTTGGCTACCCAACCGCCCCTGTGTACCGGTAACGTCAGAAATGACACAGAAGGATTGGATTTTATTTTTATATATGTTTGTTTGTGTTTGGTTTGTTGTTTAACGAAGCACACTCAACAATTCCAACTATGTGAAAGCGGTTTGTAAATAAGTCCACATAATCCTCGATCAAAGGCTTTTAGCCCGACTAAGGGCCAGACCAGACACACCAGTGCTTGACATCGTTAGCATCGATTGGGATACGATGTAATTTCCGCCATCCGACGTACGAACTTTCTGAAAGGTCAAGGTCAAATACGTAATTTCCTTTGAAACGATGGAATCGATTCCATGAAACCACAGAAACCATTGTCAGATTTCTGACATATGTCATCTTCAATGAGTGTTTGTTGTTTTACGCCGCAATATTCAAGCAGTATTCCTGTTTAAAGCGGCGTTAAACCCAACTCACTCACTCACTGGAAAGATTGTCACGGCTAATTTGACCACAGACAAATACACCTTGACATACCCGCAACACAAACGTCGTTTCCGTCAAAGATACAAAACCATATTTCCAACCAATTATATAACCGCCTAACAAAATTTGACGAGCAAATTAACCAGTTATGCAACGATTATCGATGTAGCACAACAATATCAGAGGTATGTTTATTCTAATAGGTATGTTGCTATTACCACCCACGCTGATGTGACAATGCATGGGCACCATAAGTCACTTATAATTATCAGTTACACAACCTTCATCAGGTAAAGATTGTCGGATAAAGCTATATTTGTCAAAATCCGCGACAATGAGAACCATACTCCATCTCATCAGTGACAGGAGGCGAGAGGTGTGTATGTAACTAGGCCAATAATAAAACGACGTGACGTCACGTGTAAGAGATCCGAATGAAGACAGCATATTACCGTCCACAAGGAATTGGGTTTTAAAGTAATTATGATTGATGTTCATAACATATTTGATATATCGCGTTTGAGGAAGAATTTGTTGCGCGGGTATTAATCAAAAAGACAATGTTGGAGACATATTGCTTAAAGTTATGTTGAACAGAATATGTCTTTCACTTTCATCCCATTTCATATAAGAAATCTGTTACTGTGTGATGAGTGAGTAGTGTTAACGCTGCTGTTGGACAGATTCTCTTTTAATCACATGGTTGTAGTTTAGTGCTGCAGTTAGTGAGTGAGTGAGTTGTGTTTAACGCCAGAACAGCTCTCCTGTTAATCCCGGCATGTCAGCTACGTATACATGTGGAAGGAAAGCGCGAAGTGACGTCGATCGTTACCCCTTATAACCAGTTCGCGAATGCAGGATTTGGGCCAAACCGTGCCTTTCCGTACTCTTGCATTCTCGCATTTTTGTCATATTTAGCTTATTTCCAAAGATGGAGATCGCGAGAGAATGCGAGAACGCGAGAATGGTCTTTACAGTATTCTACCTGAATATATTTCACCTTCTTCTTGAGTCAACGTATTGCCAGGCGTGAAGAGGCGACTAACGAGATCGGGTGCTCAGGCTCGATGACTTGGTTGATGCATGTCATCTTATCCCAATTGCGTAGACGCTCATGACGTCAATCACTGCATTGTCTGGTCCACACCCGATTATTTTGGGCAGCAGGAGGAATGTCTGACATGTGGCAGAACGCAGATGATGACCATTCTGATGAAAGCAAGGAGGATCCGAGGATCATAATCGTAGCGAAACTCGGACAAAAAGGCTAACAGTGACAATCCACGGAAAGTTACAATGGTTACAGGGCGAATCTGGAATTCGAACCCACGGTCGCAACACGTCAGGGAAGTTTATCTTTGTAAACATATTCCACAAAATCGAAGAGACCAGTTCAGATCAACCCATTTCCTCCCGACACTATCAAAGAGTTCGAGACAAATGTTGGTCTTGTGAACACAATAAACGGAAGTGTCAAAAACCAGTCAATTCCATTAACTGGAGATGTTGCTCCTGTAACAGACCCTAGACGCGTGTAGTGGGAGTAACAGGATATTGTTACACGTCATCGACAGGACACGTTATCTTTACTAAATCGATATGATATTGGTATTCTTCGAGGTTTCCAGTTGTGAGTTTTAACGTCAACCAATTGTAGATAAAGTCAGATAGTGTACAACAGCTTGGTTACTCGTTCTAATATATTCTCCAAGTTTCAATCCAAAAATGTCATGTGACCTTTTTTGTGAACTGGACCATGAACGAATCAGAATGAGTGAATGTTGTTTAACGCCGCAGTCAGCAATATTCTCGGCACAAGGTGGCCCGGAAGGAATCAAGTCTGGATCAGACACGCCAGTGATACCACGATCAAAGTCCCATATCCTTTACTATATCGTTTAATGGCAACACATGTTATTTTTATTCTTTTATGTATTTTTTATTTGAGCAATTCAATTTCATTTTATTAAGCTGGTAAATAACGTTGAATATTATCATTTCTTAAGTTGGGGTTAAAGGTTAGATGGTGCGAGGTAATGCAAATGATTTGTTGGGTTTCGATCAATGGCTGTCCAGCCATGTTTATTTAAAATAATATGTAGTTCCGAAATAATTGCAGTAATTGTATACAATGTATGTGTCTTACCATTTGAAGATAATTAGATTTATTGTTTCGATAGGAAAACATTTTTTTATCAATTAAAATAAACGTTAAGTGAAGTGGATCAACAAAGGACACGCTCCCTTGAAAGAGCCTGGCCTTTACTGACGTTGAACCTGAGACTCAAGTGTCTGGTGTCCCCCGCCGTGATATTGCTGGAATATTAGTGAATACCATTCTCTTAAGGCATATTCCCGGGGCGAGGGAGTTAACTGACTGTAAAAGTCAATTTTCAACTCAATTAATTCCCTTGCTTCGGGAAGATGCTCTCAACTGTTACCGAGATTTTCGTTGAGCCTGTTTCATTTATCAACAGCTCAAGAATAAGCCCCATTGGCTTACTTTTGAATGTAATTATCAGTTGGACCAGCAAATATTCACAATTTTTGTTTGGTTGTTGCACACAGCGCAATATCCCAGCTATATGGCGGCGGTCTGTAAATAATCGAGTCTGGACCAGACAATCCAGTGATTGTCATCATGTGCATCGATCAACGCAATTGGGATACGATGACATGCATCAACCAAGCAAGCCTGACCATCCGATCCCGTTTGTCACCCCTTGCTCCGTGGTCTTGTGGTAGAGTGTCCGCCCCGAGAGCGGAAGGTCCGTGGTTCGATCCCCGGGTTCGTCGTACAAAAAGATGTTAAAAGATGGTACTGGTTGTTACCCTGTCTGGCGCACGGCATTAAAGGGCTAAAACAAGGACTGGTCGGATCGGAGTCAGTATACTGTGTCTGAGCGGGGTATTCATGTAAAACTGCGGCATGGTAGTGAGCTAGCACTAGCATCAGTCCGGACAAGTACAAGCAACCACACATACACACACAAACACGTGCATTCACGTCGCTATATAAGCGCACTAATCTTGGACGCGACGCTAAACCCAATTACACCTCAACCCTACGTGTCACCCCTTGCAACAAGCATGGGTTGCTGAAGACAAGTTCTAACCCTGAATCTTCACTGGATCAATTATTCACAATGCTCTTGGCATAGTTCGACCTGATGCGAGAATACATGAGAATAGAGAGATTTAATCTTCACTTATATGTCATATATATAGGATGCATGTTATGTTTCTGAGAGATACGTAATGCTTTTGAAGGCTTTTTCTAGAGTTTCTTTAATATTTATTTTTTTAAATTTTGTTTCATGCCACTCTAGGCAACATTCCAGCTATGTGACGCAGGTCTATAAATAATCGAGTCTGAATCAGATAAACTAGTGATTGATATTATGAGCAGCGATCCATGACGTCAAGGTACAATGACGCACAATCAACCAAGTCACCTGACCTTCCGATCCATTTAGTCGCCTCATACGACCAGCATAGGTTGTTGGGGAGCTATTCTATCCCAGGGCATTTCAATACCTGTAATATATATGTGGGTACGGGGTACCACAGAAATATATAGTCCTGTTCTTGTTTACGTCCAATGTCAACTGTTTGAATGGAAACCACTTTACTAAAACAGAATGCGACTAACTACAGGTACCTAAAACACCACAATTCATTTAGCTATGCCCCTTACCTTCCAAGGCGGTGAGTTCGAATCCCAGATTGGTCCCTATTATTACCCTTGGTTTGAGAGCACCATATTCCTTCTCATGGTTGATACCAACAGTTGTAAATATTGTCTCAATGCAGCATTAAGCCACAAATCATCCAATATGTCTTTCACATCCGTGGACGGACACCTTGTGCACATGACCCGTGAAAAACCGGGGTAGAATAGGTCTTCAGCAACCCATGTTTGTCTTAAGAAGCAACATGCTTGTCACAAGAGGCATGTCATCGTATCCCAATTGCGTGGATCGATGCTCATGATATCAATCACTGGATTGTCTGGTCCAGACTCGATTATTTAGAAACCACCGTCATATAGCTTGAATATTGTTGAGTGCGGTGTTAAACAACAAACAAAAGCTTGTGCACATGACCAAAGAGGTTGATACCCTCTGTTAGCCGACACGGTAAGTCATCTGTGGGGTGACTCCTCCTCCTGCCACATACATTTGTAGGTCTTGAGAGTTGTCTGATAGGTAAAAATATCTTAGGCTCTTCAAAACAATTTTATTTCATAGATTTCATACAAGCGCACACTATATAGAAAGCGAAATAAAGAATGTCGCTGACCTAGGCCGTAACCTTCACGAAATACACTGGAAACAAGAATCGAGAGCTCTTCCATAGATCTAACACCTCGTGTGTTCATTGTAACTATTCACGAGTGTACTTCTGGTAATAAATGTAATGTAACACCAGCCAAGGAATTTGACATCTTCCCGAGGCAAGGGCGTTAACTGAACAGTTTCCACGTTGCAACTGGACTTTTATTGTCAGTTAACTCCCTTGCCTCGGGAAGAAGGGAATTTGACAGAGGTCATCGCAGTTGGTCATGCTACTTACTAGTATATATAAGGTAAACAGGCATACATTCACAAGCCCCTGGAAGAAAAGCAACTTTTCCAAGCTTAGAGGGAAGGTGGAAAAACTGTCCAGAAATAGCTTACAGGTCTGAAAACCTTTACGCTCATTGTCCAAGAAATAGCTCGCCTCTTCAAGCCTTTCCACAACCCTTCAGACAATTCAATAACTTTCCAAACAATTCAATACTTGGTAATATCGTCATTCCAAGGTTTTGAAATATGGTATTTTAGTTTTGAAAAGGCTTATTTGCAAAGTTTGGAAATGTTTGGAAAGCAAGCTATTTATTCAATAGATGGTATTGAACAGAATTAGGGTTACAAGTTAATAAACGAAAATGACCGTCTGGCACATCTACCATTAGCATCGACACACGACTACTGACGCTGCAAATATGTCTTCAGGGATGTTATTCTAGGTCCAAGGCCTGTCAAACGTGGACCTTGGTCTTCTACTCCTAGTGCTTATGTTTAAGCAGCATTTCCCAGTCCAGCGTGCCAGTCCTCGCGATTGTACAGCATGCGTTTCCATATCCAGTCTGTCCGCTCATCTTTTTGGTGCCCATTGGTGCTCGCCCAAGGTGGTCTGCGGTCTCATGGACCTGAGAGACAGGTGAATCAGTTGAAATTTAATTACAGTATACTTCGGTTATATCGAAAACACACTTATAACGAACTGACGGATATAACGAACTTACGTTTTTGGTCCCGACTATTTGCTGTAGTTATGCTGTATATATGCTTATAACGAACTACGGTTATAACGAACTAAAACAAGCAGCCACTTTAAGTTCGTTATAAAATAAGTTATATCACGAGGTTTCAGCTTCAAATGGAACGTTACCACTTTGATAACAAAACAAGAACCATCACCAAGGCGGAATTCGAACCCCGATCATTAGATTCTGGCAGGCCTAAGGGACGCCACTATGCAGAGCGAATTGTAGAACCTTAGACGACTGGGCCACTCGCGCCTCCGAGCAAAACTATAAACATGGGGCACGTATGATGTGTTTCTATGCATGAAGGGGCGGTCAGGAAGCCTAGTGGTTAAAGCGTTCGTTCGTCACGCCGAAGACCCGGGTTCGATTCCCGACATGGGTACAATGTGTGAAGCCCACTTGTGGTGTCCCCACAATATTGCTGGAATATTGCTAAAAGCGGCGTAAAACCATACTCACTCACTCTATGCATGAAAAGTGAGATAATGTTAAACATGCACAATATCACGAATCATAATTTTAGGCGTGGGTGAGGCAATAATGTTTTACTCCCTCTACATCAATATTATACAGATAAATGTGATCAAGCTCAAATCTGGGACAGGTAAACCAATGGAGGATAGCATGAGCAACGACCCACGCTTTCGGGAAACGATGATGCAGTCCATCACCCGATCTTCACTTTAGATTTTTTACACTGAGGATAGGGTACTGGCGATATTTCTACCTAGGAATTACACCTATTGATTATTATTCAATGATATTCTAACCAGAGAGCTATACCTACCACAAGGCCTCTGCCGATGATGGAGTGGGGTCCGTAGAGGTCGCAGTACTTATCTGTCATGTTCATGTGTACCTCCCCTGCGTCATCACAAGAAATGTTTCCCCAATCACCGGCATGTCTGTAAAAGCATCCAATAGAAGTGAATGAGTGAGTGATTGAGTTAACATTGGGTAAGGTCAATTTCCAATAATCTAGTTAATCACGGGTGTCAAATAATCGAGCCTGACTAAGAGGCAAACCTGTCGTAAAAAATATGTTTTTGTGTTCCTAAGATACTGTAGCTTTAAAATATAATAAGAAGTCAAAATGTGATTTTTCACCATCAAGGTCCTTTATCTCATGGTTGGTCGCAAATGTTGAAAACAAAGAAGGGATGGTGCTGAACTTAATTCCAAGAATATACTGAACCGCAAAAGAAACGTCACCATGGAACGATATATGGGAAAACATACTCTGAGACATATTAAAAAGATGAAACTTGGCAAAACTGATCTTCATGGTTGAAATGAAAGTGTCAAATGTTCTTAAAGTGAAACACACCACTAATCTCTGAGAAAATGGCATCACAAGTCAGTATCTCGTATGTCCGCCATGTGCATTGATGACTGCCATGCAACGTCGATACATGGAACGAATGAGGCGGTTGATGAAGGCCATAGGCACTTGAGCCCACACTCTGAGATACGCCTGACGCAGTTCAGCTGCAGTTGTCGGCCCTGGTCGGACGTCATTCAGCCGTCTTTGAATCTCGTCCCGCAGGTGCTCAATGGCATTTAAATCGGCACTGAGGGCAGGCCACTGCACTGTTCTGATGCCATTCTGCTGGAGGAAGTCTCTTGTTGCTCTCGCAGTGTGGGTACGGGCGTTATCATGCTGAAACTCATGGTTGCGGCGACGTGCCAAATGAGGTATGGCGTGTGGTCTCAAGACTTGATCAATGTACCAGGCTGCTGTGACAACATTGCCTCTCCCTGGACCGATGTTCTGGAAAACCACAGGGCCGACCCCCTGTGCAAGGCCCATTCCACCCCACACCATGATGCTCGGACCACCCCAGGAGTCTCTCTCAACAACACAAGCATCCGAATAACGTTTCCCACGGCGTCGCCAGACTCTCCCTCTGCCATCTGCTGTTGAGATACAGTAACGTCTATCGTCTGAGAAGAGGACTCTTCTCCACGGCTGGTGGCGCCAATTCTGGTGCTGTGTTGCCCACTGAAGACGGTCCCGGCGACGACGTGGTGTCGGAATTGGTCCTCGTTGCGCCCTGTGACAGTGGAGGTGTCTGCTCGTCAATCGTCGACGCACGGTGTCCGCACTTATGTGTCGCTGGTGTGTCCCCATGGTCTGTCGAGCAGTTTCCGCAGGCGTAACAAAGCGATCTTGAAGATGCTTTCGCACAATCTGACGATCCTGACGATGGTGACCCTTGGTCTTCCACTACGTAGTCGGTCATCTGTAATGCTGGTGGTCTGGTACCGTTGCTGGAGCCTGTATATGGTCCTTATGTGACATGAAATGCGTTGGCTACTTGCCGGACGGTTTGTCCAGCTTGCAATCGCCCAAGGGCTTGGTGTCGCTGAGTTCTTGTCAATCTTGGCATGTGATGGCAATTCAATAACGAATGAATGTTATCCGATCTGGGTGGATTTTTATAGGGCAAGAGTTGGGAACATATGTGCTTTTCAATATGCACGGAACTCATGTGCATCGGGTTTGGGCGATCGGTTTTATTGTCATCTGCTTTGTTTTTTATCATCAAATTTCATTTTTTCGGACAAGGTAATGTTAAATTTTAGAAACTTTGACAAAAATTACCTAGATATTTAAATGACAACTTTTCATGCAATGTTACTTGGGGTGACGTTTCTTTTGCGGTTCAGTATATATTTGAGTATTTCTCGTTTTCGATCCATACTCGAAGCTTCCTTGATACATAACGTGTCATTTTCACTCCACATCTGTGAAATACTGAATGGGCGGATCCGTATAACAAAATAATTAATAGTTCGGTTGTTCTGTGACCACAGGAGGTGAATAATGAATTCGAATTTAAACAAGATCGCTTTCACAAAACATTGCCCTAACACAAAGCTAACTTAGGCACATTCCTGCATGAACATTCTTGAAAATGGTGTGTTCGTTATTGTATATGCCCTAAAGTTCCAAACCTAGGGTCACCCTCATCTGCAGATTCTGCAGAACGGCCACCTACCTTTTTTCTGAATCGTGACCCCCGTGATCGCCACCGTCGGGGTTGTAGTGGCCGCCGGATGACGTACAGCCGGCGCTAAAGTCGCCAAATTCATGCACGTGGAATCCATGCATATGAACAGAATGGTCAGAATGGCCGCTTGGTACGTAGAATCCCCGCAGTTCAAGCAGTATCTCCAGTGGCCCGCGAACCTGCAGGAGAAAACAAACAAGCATTGCAACAATATAAGCTAGACTGATAAACACATTATATGGACACAAGAAACATAGTTATAACACCCAGGGCCCAAACCATTTACCTAAAAGTAGTATGGGTGAAAATGCGTTTTGTCAAAGGTTCTAAACCAGAAAACACGATCGATTTCTAACACGTTCTTAAAATAGTAACAGAGACGATCGTGTTTTCCGGTTCACAACTTGGATTGTTATATGTGTGAAACGTCCTTTACCTTGTGCTTCAGAGTGTTATCGATTTGATGAAGTTTAACGCCGCATTGAAAAGTTTTTCAGTAATACGACTTTTTCATTTTTCTATTTGTGACAGCCAAACCAGTGGTTGACAGCATGACAACGATCCACGCTGACGACATATAGACGACACGCACTGTAACCAACTTAGCCATGAATATTCGGGTTAGAATAGGTCTTCAGCAATCATGCTTACCGTAAAAGGCGACTATGTTGTCGTAAGAAGCAACTAAGGGGATCGGGTGGTCAGGCTCGCTGACTTGGTTGATGCATGTCATCCTATCCCTAATGCATGGATCGATGCTTATGATGACAATCACTGGATTGTCTGGTCAAGCAGGATTATTTACAGATACTGTCATAGAGCTAGAATATTGTTAAGTGCGCTAAACAACAAAAACAAACTATAACCAACTGGTTCGTACGACAAGCACGCGACATGGTCGAGATACTGTAGATGCGAAAAGTAGCTACGTAAGTACTACGCCGCTTTTACAATATACTGCTATGTGATAGATAACTCGTATCCTTCATACAGCTACGGTCTTCATCAATGCAGTAAACGTCTGAGGCCTGCATCACTTTGGGATTTCGTCCCACATTTAGCTGACACGACGTGATATAATTGGTATACAGTCTGAAGCGGCGATAAGTCCAACTCACTCACTCCCACAGTAACGATCCGACAGAGACCGATGCTCATTTTAGTACAGGCCTTTACAAGTCCCACCAAGAGTGCAAATTAATAAATGTTTTTACACCCTTAATGTCAAATCATTTACCTACAACTACGCCCATTTAAAATGCATTTTCATAAACGTTATGAACCGGTAAACACGACTAAGTCAAAATTTATCACACGTGGAAAAGAAATCGCCACGAATGCCTCGAATATTGATGATGCGGCGTTTCACAATATTCACTTATGCGCTTACTTACAAAATAGTAAAAATAGCTCACTTTATTTCACAGGCTGCCATAATAGAGCAATAGTATTACTTCTGACGTAACAATTGTCTACGACCATGAAGTGTCTGTATTACTCCGAATAATAAAGTTAACTTACCTTTTGCCTTAAGTAGACTGCGCCAGTAATATTGTTGCGTGGCCCGGATTTAGAAGGTTCATTGCCCATAGCCATGTTACATCGACCATATATATAGGCTGAAATACAAAGGCGTCATAAGACACACGTGCGGGACTTCCTACAGATAAATATGTTAATGAAGATATCAGTCATAACTGTCAACGGTTAGTTGTTCAATCGGCCATCTCGCCCCGAAAAGAACTGCAAGGAAGACTCGGCTGCGAAATGGCAACTTGTCCCCAAACAGAAAACAGGCCTCCGCCTAAACAAGTGAGAATGCACTTTTGTTGCATGTAAACTGTGTTCAATTTTCATCTGTTTTATAAAATGATGGTTACTTATTTAAAAGGTTTTTTTATCCAAATATGATCAAAATATATTTCAAGTGGTATAAAACAACAATGTTTTGAAAATATAGTTCCGACAAAATGACTGTGGGTACCTGTACTTGTGTGATCTCTTTTTTATGCAAACGGCTGCTTTTGTCACATACTTACACCATGCAATGTAGTGATATATTGCTATTCATTATCAATTACCACTTCCAGAATAGTTTTTTTATGCGGCATTTTCGTCTCAAAAAATTGTTAATGGCTGTCGGCTGCAAGTTCGGATGTTTACATCACGTCACTCTGATGTCAACGGGTCAAATATAATCCCGGTTCACATTCACACCAACTCGTGATATTCCGGCAGGTAACGGAACGAGGCGAGTGGTAACGAATGTCCCGGTTGACTGACGGTTCGCGTCACCTCATAGGTCTCTTTTCCTATGTCCGATCGTCGGCCAGCGTGTGAGTTATTGTGGATTTTACGAACGTTTTAAGCATCATTGATTTAAAACTAATATACCATGAACCCAAAGCTTAGGTGAGGTGAAATGGGGTTTAACGTCGCGTCTAAGATTATTGCACTTATATAGCGACATGCATGATTACATGTGTGTGTGGCTGCTTGTACTAGTCTGATGCCGATTTATATTGCTAGCCCATTGAGATACCATGCTGCAGTTTAACATGAATACCCCACTCAGACACAGTATAGTGACTCCGAGCCGACCAGTCCTTGTTTTAGACCCTTTTAGCCGAGCACCAGACAGGGTAACAACAAGTACCATCTTTTAAAGTCCTATGACGCGGCCTGGAATCGAACCCAAGACCTTCCGCCCTCCGAGTGGATGCTCTGCCACTAGAACACGGAGGCGACCCCCAAACCATAACATATTGTTAGGATGTCAAAAGGTACACTCTAACGTATTACATTGTCGAGACCTGATGACGTTTTGTAGTATGGCTATAGATGAACCATTCAAAATGATAAAAACTTACCGTTTCGTTTTCTTCCCCGACATCCCCTGTGATGGTCACGATGACCATGACCTTCGTGGCTACCATGATGACCATGACCTTCATGACCTTCGTGGCTACCACGGTGATCATGACCTTCGTGGCTGTCGTTATGAGCATGACTTTCGTCGCTTTCTTCATGACTTTCGTGGCTACCATGGTGATACTCCTCGTCACAGTCGTCCTCGTAATGGTCGTCATGACCACCATGATGGTCGTCCATATGCAGATGTATATGCACGTGCGTCCCATCCTGACCTGCATGCGTTTCTGCATGGTCATCCCCCATTCCGTGCACGTGGACCATTACACGTGATTCCAGTTTCTTGTGCATTTCTGTCCACAGACTGGAGATGTTCTTCTTTAGTGACTGAAGTGCTGCTAAAATTACAAATGCACATATTTAATTATATTTTACACACCCTCTCGTTTCTGAGCGCCATATCATGGTGTACTAGCATATCGAGGGCATATTTGATCTTTTGTTGGGATTAAAATTGTCGAATCAAGGTGGTACAGAAATGACAACTAATTGACTGAAATACCCACGCATATTCATTCAGATAGGCCATCCTTCTATAGAGGTGTCGCCAGATGTTGCGCAGAGAGTTGTCGTATCGGAGTAAAAGAATTGATTTCAAAGAGATCGCAGGAATACAATTTTCTGTTTGGCTTTGCTCAATCACGAACTGTTACGTCATATCTACTGCGTCACAATGATTGACATTTTTGCCTGAAGAAACTTATGACGTCATTCCACGGCAGTCGTGGTCAATGAATAGTAGTAGTAGTAGTAGTAGTAGTAGTAGTAGTAGTAGTAGTAGTAGTAGTAGTAAAATGTTTATAAAAGTGTCACACGCAGAACATGTACAATATAAAATCGATGCACATACAATAAAAGGTGCATGGAGTGCGTCCAGCCAGACATTGGCTTATGAGACACTATACACAATATAAACAAAGTATATTCATAATAATTATATATATATAATGTGAGAGGTTTGGAAATTTAGCTACGAATCAGAAGTCTCACGGGAAACAATAACAAACTCCTCGATTCAACAACAAAGAAAAAGAAAGGATAGGTAGAGAGAGATATAATTTTATAATCATGGTGACGACTGTCGTCTCTTAAACATTTTAAAAATCGGTGCGGCAAGAAATTTTGTAAAACGTTTGAATTCATTGAGTAAATAAATTTCTCTTCTTCGCATATCACATTAAATTTCGGTTGTTTTCTTCAGCTGCACAATATAAATCATGCCGTAAATCTTCATAAAAACTGCATTGTAGTAAAATATGACATAATGATTCGTCTTCCACCAAATCACAATTCCAATATTTATATAACCTCTCCGATAGCGATATAAGAGGCTTGGAATATCTGCCTTTCTCCACAAACAAAGGTAAAATTCCACATCTTAACTTGGCTAAAATACGGCGGTGGTCTCTATACAAAATATTTTTAACATAGAAATCAACAGAAGGTGTACACTTATATTTCCTGCAGGTACGTAACTTATTTCCATTCACATTACCCGTATCATTCCAAAGTGATTTCCATTAAGTGAAAACAATTATACTCGTTCAAAAGGTTCATTATTTTACTATACCAAGATGTGGTAAAACATCCTGACCATCGGTGAATAATATTAGGCAGGCGCTCTTGCTGCATAGATTTAAGGCTGAAAAGATATCTGAAACATTCTGAGTAACTCAAACTGAGCACCAGCCCATACCCCCTCTACTTGCAAGAACAGGAGCATGTATATTTAAACCAAGAAGCATCCTGGCAGCCTTATTTTGCACAACCGCAACTTCTTTAACACTATGTAAGCCCCATATACTGGCACCATAAAACAAAACTGGTTCAACCAGCGATTTATACAACTTCGTAAAAACATCATTCGACATTCCACCAGCATAGATCACGGTCTTGTGCATGTCTAAGTACATGTATTCGTTTAAACACAATCCTAGATAACGGTAAGCGCTGTCATAAGAAATGTGAGTATTGCCACACGAAAACTGATAACAAAATCTTACAACAGATTTCTTTCGAAAATGGACAATTTGGGTTTTGTCATCATTCATGCTAATACGCCATTTTAAACACCAAGTACTTGCAATATCTAACATATTTTGGAGATATGTGTCATTTGGAGCTAACAACGCAATATCCTCAGCGTATAACAAAATGAATAACATTTCGTTATCCAATGGTACACCCCATCTGAGGTTCGTTATCTCTGTGGCTAGATCATTTATATATAGAAAATAGAGTTGGTGACAATTTGCAACCTTGCTTAACACCCTTGGAAACATTAAAATAATCTGTGATATAGTCATTCACGCGTACTGCACATCTCACATCTTGATATAGGACTTGAACAGCTTTCAACATCTTCCCTTGTACTCCAACAGACAAGTTTATACCATAGACAATTGCGGTCTACAATGTCAAATACTTTCTTTCTGTCTATAAAACACAAATAGGTTGATAGTCCAGCAGATTTCCTATCATTTTATAAAGTATACAAATAGTCGATACAGTTTCTGTTTCAACCATTTTGTTCCTGAGACAATATTTTGTTCATCTCAAGCCTGTTCCTGATTCTATTGTTCAAAACGCCTGCACATATTTTACACGGTAAAGAGGGAGACAGTGCCTACGCGCCGGTTCATCACAAGCGAAATGCGGCTTGAACTGGTTGCAGCCTGAATAGGCTACACTGCGATCATTTACCGCTGAAAGCCATTGTTAATCAAATTCGGTACATATATATGAGGGAAGTAATCACTTAGTAGTCAAAACATGGCGTAAGATGTAAAACAGTGAAATAATAAAAAAACATATTGTTCATATTGTATTTAAAATGCCTGTTTGATTAAACATTTGGGGAAATTATTTTATTGTAAATTTAATTTGAACAAAGAGTTTGCCGCCGTGTTGATGCCTCGCATCAAAGTTTTCTTGTAACAGTTAAGCGTACTTTTGAACAAAATTTTGCAAGGGGAGCGTATTATTCTCTGGGGTGTATCATTTGAAAAATGCTTACAGGTTATCCGCGCTGGGGAATTGTATTGCCCCATATAAACCAAAGATAAGTATTGTGGTAAAAAGATGTCATAATGGTTTGAGTGAGTGAGTATGTTTTTACGCCGCTTTTAGCAATATTCCAGCAATATCGCGGCGGGGGACACCAGAAATGGGCTTCACACATTGTACCCATGTGGGGAATCGAACCCGGGTCTTCGGCGTGACGAGCAAACGCTTTAACAACTAGGCTACCCGACCGCCCCCATCATGGTTTGAGAATATGAAGCGAAACTATGCTGAATAAAACCGATCATCATTGATCCCTAAATTCATATGCCTCAATCGATGCAATTTACTCATCAATTCCGTTATAACACATTATTTTCTCATTTTGTCGTGGTTGAATGGAAATAACCCACTGTGGGATCAATTTAGAGTCTTCGAGGTAAGAACAGAGATTTAACGTTTCCCAACAATGATATAATGTGTGTAAAACATGACAGACCAGAGTTATCTAGCTCTACATTGAAACAAACAGCACGTGTACCTCCCCGTCATGACCAATCCTAAATATGCTTGTTCAGTTTCATTTGTACATACCTGCATCACCAGATTCCGGTTTCTGGAGCTTCCTTCTTTTTGTGTTCTTTGCATCAGTCTCCATCATCACCCCTAGGAACACCACTACACTGAGAATAACAAACAACTTCCACATATTGCACAAGACAATATTTTCCAAAATCAAAACCCAAAGCTCGATCAAGAATGTCTCCAAGCAGTTGTTTATGTGCCAGATGCGTTGGTCAGCACACCACACTGTCCTATGACACTGACTAGCTAGCCTTTATGGTCAGGTCAAATGAAGAACAAAACACCCCGTGTCAGCAAACGTCCACCACCGAGTCTGGTGACTGTAACTAATATATCATGCCTATATACTTGTTATCAGCTGTTAAGATAAAGCCCCTGTTGATTACAGCCAATTAGAAATGATAAAATGGTCTTGCCATTGTTCGTAATGTACTGCGCTTGTTGTTTTGACCTGATATGGTCATCTGTATAATTGTGTGTGTTTATCGTTACCGTCCCGTGCAGATTTTTTTTTTAATGTCCTTTTATAGCCAACAACTCGCCCAGCTGAATGTATATATAATCTCTTTGATAAAAATGAACGAATTTCCAGAAATGTCCTCGCAGTATGCTTCATATCGAAGAATATATTTTTCCGTCTTCTAATATCCGCTTTTTTTTCTGCCGTTTAAGCTCCCAACACCAACTCAGCTTAATAACAATTCATCGAGTTTAAAAGCACATGCATCTTTAAATTGAAGTTTGATATCAGCATCTTTCTTTAGTGTTTTGGAGTTGAGTTATTATTTTCCAAAATAGAAAGATGCTCATTTATTTTTAAATTATTTTTTTTTAAATAAACTGAAGATCATAAAAAAATATACCGACCAGTTTTTCAAAATAATAAAAAAGCACATGTTCATTGAATTCTGGTATTACGAAAGTATAATTATATCATCGTTCCAAAATACCTCATCATTTTATTCTATTTATTTTAATAATTTTGGCTTTAGATGATAGTGCTAAATAACCTATTTTGTGAATATTACTTAATAATTTGTGAACTAAAAGTATATCTCAGTCGAAGTTGATATATATACGCCTGCATTAATTCCCAGGTTTTATGTTAATACGCGCTAAGTGTTAAGCGTTAAGACTACATGCATCTTCCGTCATAAGTCTATATCAGTCAGTGTTGATATCCGCCTGTCTTCATTCCCAAGTCTTACTTGATAAGCGTTATTTGCTAATCGTTTAGACTACATGTCCGGAGAGGCAAGTAAATATTACTCTATGATAACAAGTTCTCCGAGAAAACTGTTATGTAATCTTAGTCATTTCTCCATACTCATGTCTTTCAAAACTGCGCTGTAATCTCTAAATTCAGATAGTTAGCACGGTAGATTAGCAACATGGTAATCATTGTTTAGATAAGTGACAATTGAACATGCGACCATATCATAATGTACACAAACTGTTGACTTCCTTTTTACGTTAGTTTCACACTGACAGGGCAAACTGATGGTTATATTTGGAGTTAATATCGCTTCTTACCGTTTGTTATTCTCTTGAAAATGTTTCGTTATAAACTGTAAATTTCTCATTTAACACGTCAATCGAGACTGGTCGTTTCGCAAAGCGCCATTTTGGTTACTTGACCAGCGTGTATTCCTTAGCTTCCAACAGCGATCTCGTAGCTTTCAAGAATATCTTTTTTAAGTTAAGATTGTATATTATCATATATATGATAAAAAAATTAAGTGACCTCAAATTATTTTAGTGCTTTTTATTTTTTAAGATTTTTCAAACGCGGAACTACTTTTTAAGTCGCAATTATCATGGGTGGTGAAATGTCACTGATGAGATACACCGAATACAGACAGGCTACTTATAGATGCTTCTCTTGGTTATTTTAAGTTGTACGTCCTAAGCTAATTCACCGACAACAAATTCTAGTATTATTTTCAACCCAGACCTTACATAAACCTTTTAAGGCAATACAGGTCATAATGTTCATTATAATCAAATGACGTGTTTTAAACTCTGATAAACACACTATTGACCATCATGTGTCGCCACTACATATCCCACACAGCACAGTGTCCCGTTGAAACAAGATCCCGCGGTTGCGCTGCAAGAACGGTAACACGACGAGACGGGACACGATGTCGATGTAAGCAGCTGCAGGTGTGTCCTCTGTCGGACACATATCCCACCCCAAACCATCACACTGCCACCGCGAAACGGAACAGTCTCCTGATTTCAACAAGGAGCCGTTCTTTCTCCCACACGTCAGTAGATAAGTGTTCTCTATCGTCGGCTCTCTCTCTCTCTCTCTCTCTCTCTCTCTCTCTCTCTCTCTCTCTCTCTCTCTCTCTCTCTCTCTCTCTCTCTCTCTCTCTCTCTCTCTCTCTCTCTCTCTCTCGCCAGTGTTAAGGGTAGGATCTGCACCCAACCACGTATTCCCAAATACTTGCCGCTTAGGGGTCTCAGCAATCAACATTCCCTCTCCTTCCCTATCTCTCTCTCTCTCTCTCTCTCTCTCTCTCTCTCTCTCTTTCTCTCTCTCTCTCTCTCTCTCTCTCTCTCTTCTCTCTCTCTCTCTCTCTGAGTGGTAAATATCTCGGTTGTTGTCATGAAGAACATGTGATTGAAGTATATAACTCAATTATTCAATGGGATGAAAAAATACCCTGAGATCTTAGAAATATTTCTAACTGTATTTTGAAGGAAGCGTTAAAACTGCCCCGTAGGCTTAGTAAATGAATGATGACCTTAAAGCGGCTCTCAATGAAAGAGAGCCGTTTATTGATCGTGTCGCGTACTCGTTGGTAGCAGTTTTCAGTATTTCAACATGAAACTGTTCCTGATAGATGATCTTTTGGGGCCGTTTAGACCATGTCGCTGGATCTGGAAATGAGCTGCAGCGTTTCTCTGTGACACTTACAAGACTACTGCTTCTCACCTTAACCGCTTCTCCATCCATTCATGTCATTTGTGTTGCAACCGTTCGTTTCAAACGCCTTTACTTTCCAAAATAGAGAATTATTTCTCTGCCCTTTGTGTCCTTGTTAAACCACTTCGCCGGAGTGTATGAATCCTATGAAAAGAAAAATATATTTATAGAAATCAAAGTGATGAAGCAAACATGAATCACTTTAATGATTAAAGGATAAAATGTCTTTTTTTAACAGCTTATGCTACTCTTTTCGTTAAGCCATTGAGAATGATCGCAAACATCAACAAACGCTGTGAATGTTGGCAGCACGATTATGCCGAAGGATAATCCGTTTCTTTTAGTCTCAAAGGTCATTTGAAAGGGAATAAAACATATGCTCAAATCATATCGATTTATGCGAGGGCGATATCAGTTTAGAATTATGTCCGTTTTACAGGGTGATTCTGGCGGTCCTCTGTCCTGTCGGTACCATGGCAAGTTCTACCTGACCGGGGTCGTCTCCTGGGGGACGCAGAACTGTGACGTCAGCGGTTACCCCAGCGTCTTCACGCGTATCAATGCCTACCACGACTGGATCCAGAATGTCATGGAAGAAAACAGTGGGTGAAAGACACCAATGCCATCGGTGTCAGCGTCCATGGAGACCACACCATAGATACTGAAGAAAGTCTCCGTGAAGAATTCAGAACGGCTTGAGTTTGGGATATTCTACAAATGATTCGTTGGCATCTATGGGACACAAAGTCACATTACAGCAAAATAACATCACAGAGTTAAAATATTTTTACAAACGAAATATATATAAATTATATAAACGTAGGACTGTCGTGGAAATCACTTGACAGAATACTTGAGTTCAGTGCCAGATGGGAGAGTTTAATTTGGCAATGCCGTTATATTTTTCAATTTTTAATTATTTTTAAGTGACATGAGCATAATACATGTTTGCTAAAGTTCAACACGTCTATAAGTATAAAACTATACTTTGTGTTAACTGGTTTTGTTATCGTATGATATTAAAAAACATAGAAATGCATACCCATGTACGATGATCGGATATGACTGAGTTGGAACTGTACCTGACAATGCTTCAAAGCTGATAATGCATGGGCGATATATTCATGTAATATGTTCGTTATCTTTGTGATATATACAGAACAAAAACTGTTAGGGATCATGAATTATTTTGGGGGATTTCAGTAGTGAAGACTGATCATACAATTTCATGAACATATCCTCAAAAAGATTTAGGATCCCTAACGTTTTGTTCAGTATATATGCGAAGGATACAACTGTTTCTACGACAATTTTAAAGACGTTAAAATCTTTGAAATGATTTGTATAAGATCTCATAGATAGCTTTATTTGGTTTTCTTTATGCTACGATATCTAAGGTATGAGGTATATGCCTTTTGCCAGCTCACCATGTATTCCTCACAATAACCGATGATTCGCTTTCAAATAAACATTATTCACGAAACGTCGGTTTATTCTGATTAGGACATTCGTCATCAAATGGAGCAGTATAAAATAAACAATATGTATTAAAAAAGTAAATTTGATCAATATAAACTTACCCTCTACTTGAAGTATGTTTTTCTCCTCTTCCTGAAGTATGTTTTTTTTCAGGGGATATAGACGGTTATACAAATGATAATTTTGTATATATTTTTGGTTCCTGTTCAAAAATCAACTGGGCTCATTAGAAAATCGCGTCATGCTAACAAGGGGATAATGTAATATTTGATGACCAAGGAAATTATACATATTTAGATTATATTATTATGTTCAAGATTGTTTATACACAAATATTAACCAAGGTTATCTTGTTTGTCATTTTCGGAGTTATGCTTTGAAACATTGTAAATTTGAATTGTGCACGGGGGACCGCTGTGTACAGTTGCCTCCCTTAGGCACGCCAGGAACCTATGATCGTGGGTTCGAATCCCGGTTCGCCCTGATTATAGTTCTAGGTTTGTCAGCATCATACCTGTGCTCGTGGGTTTCACCGAAGTGGTAAACGGCATGACCTGCATCACTTCGGGTTTTCCTCCCACATTAAGCTGACACGCCGTGATATAACTGGAATACTGTTTCATGCGGCGTAAAAAAAACCCTCACTCTCTCCCTGAGTTTGAAAGTGGCTGATCAGCGTGAGATATGTATTCCTTATGGAACATTACTTACAAACATACCCGTCGTTACAGATTCGTGACAATCGTGGTATGTATTTTCTGCAATGGTGTATATAGTTTTAAAGAAGCAGCTAATTTATTGACGTCAAGAGCCAGAATACGATGTGGTATTTGTGAACATTCCAGTATTCTACCAATAGGCAAAGACGGGTGAAACCTTATGGTATTTAGCAATTATTTATTG